GAGAGAGAGAGAGAGAGAGAGAGAGAGAGAACGAACTGGGGACCGAGCTTGCAACTAGGGCATGTGCCCTGACTGGGAATCCAGCAAGCAACCTTTTAGTGCACAGGATGTCCAACCAACTGAGCCACACTGGCCAGGGCTCTGCCTAGTACTTTTCCACAGATATCGACTAACTTTTGCCCTTTAAACTTTAAAGTCGTCTCATATGTTATCTAATCTTTAGGTTTTCCCTGATTTCTCTATGAAAAATAAGACCCCACCACCACCACCCCTCTGCTTTATTTCTTTGCATCACACCATCTGGCATACTATATGTCCTGTAATTTCCATGAGCACAGGGACTAGATTTTGTTTATTGTTGTATATCTCCAGAGCCCAGAACAGTACCCCGTACCCAGAACTTAGTGGAATGAATGAATTCTTTCCCTTTTAGTGTATTTCTACATGGGACATTTTTGTAGTTGGAAAAAAAAAATCCCCTCTATTTGTTAACTGGTCCAATTCTAAAAATTAAATGAGAAAAGAACTTTTTTTCTTCATGTCATTTTGGTGGGAGGGGGCATTGTTTCTTTTTGGTCAGGGAAACATCCTATTGAAAAATTTCAAAATGAAGATGGACATTTAATTGAAATGGAACAAGCAAAAGGAACAAATAAAGTACTTATTAGATAACCTTAATATGGAAAAATAATTTTATAAAAACTATTTTTTCTTCCAGGGAACATACTTTTATATTTTGTCCTTAAAAATCAGCCTACATCATTCATATTTTCTGTTTTGGCTTATACTTTCCTATTTCTCTGCTTTTTATCACACTGTCTTCTTCTGCCACTTTTCACTTAAAATTAAGTCCTATTGCTTCATCAAGGTTCCAGCTTAAAAAGACATTTCTAATCGTCTCATCCTTGTTTCTTTGTTTGCTGGACTATTATATATTCTTTGAGTCTTCATTGATGGTTATATTGCTCTGGCCACACTCTTCTGTGTACTGTACTTCCCATCTCCATCAGCTGTCTTGTGAAAGGTGACATCTTGGTGTAATCTCACTACTTGGGCCCCACGAGGCATTTAGGAACGGTGGGAGACATTTTTAAAAGCCTTCATATGTAATTCCATTGGTACACTGATATCTTTACTTTTTTAAAAAAATATATATTTTTGATTTCGGAGAGGCAGGGAGAGGGAGAGAGAGATAGAAACATCAATGATGAGAGAGAATCGTTGATTGGCTGCCTCCTGCACGCCCCCTACTGGGGATCGAGCCCGAAACCCAGGCATGTGTCCTGACCAGGGATCAAACTGTGACCTCCTGGTTTATAGGTTGATGCTCAGCCACTGAGTGACACTGGCCGGACATCTTTACTTTACTTTTATAAAGGACATGGTCAAACTCTAGAACCTGGAAAATGCTACTTCAGATATTTTAGGTTTAGTCTAAATAATTTAATTAAAGGAAAGAGTGTTTTTTAAATTGAAGAATTAGAAAATAACACTTTGTTTACTTTTATGTAGATGGGTCCTGCCAGTTTAAAAATACTGATATTTATAATTTGAGCATTCACAGTAGGTGACCTATTATAATCTGAAGAAATATTTGTTTGTTTCATACTTTTCAAAAACTGGATGTTAAAAATAGTCTGGACCAAAATGTGTAACAATTTTACATTACAAAAATATGTGTTAGGGTTAGGTAAACATATAACTATGGAGTTAGGAATAAATATTGTCATATAAATGTCTGTAATGTGCAGAAGTGACATAATCTAAAATATAAATAGCAGGTACTTGGATGTAGGGGTTGCTTGAGAAGAAAGGGGAATTAACATTTTATAATACTGATCTTTATTGTTGTTTTCAAGATAAAAATTTGAAGTCAAACCTCAGAAGGAAGGTAGGGGAGGTTGGAGGTAAAGGGGAGAGATCAACCAATGGACACAGACACCAGAGGGGTGAGGGCATGAGTGTGGAGGTAGGGGGGCAATGAGGGGATAAGGACACATATGTAATACCTTAATCAATGTCATTTTTATCATTTCTGTTATTTTGTTTTTATTATTTATAGTTAATTTAGTAGAAGATTATCTTGATTTATGCTTAAAATGGTATAAATTTTTTTAAAGACATGAATTATGTTTGTTTGTTTTTGTAGCCATTTCTGAAACTACAGGTCAGCTATAGAAATCTTTTTTCTGCTTTTATTCCTGTGAAGTCACTTAAAATGGATTTCTTTGATCCAGCTCTGTTTAAGAGAACACTTTAGAAAAATGTTAGTATCCCATAAGCATGTGTTCTAATGTTTTCCTTTATTTGTTTTAAAATTCTAGGAATTGAAGCCATATTTTATGAAGGAAGTTGGCACTCACTTGGATGATTTTGTGACCAATCTCATTGAAAAGTCAGTATCATTAGATAGTGGTGGGTGTGCACTCACATCCTTTTCTGTTCTTGGAGGAGTGAACAACCATAGAGCTAAGTAAGTATGAGTATTAGATTCTTGTAATGCAGACATCTGCTCTAGTGTAGCTCAGCAGTTACAATGTGGACTGTGGTAAAAATGCCTGGATGCACACCTGGCACCACTTTTCGTTAGCTGTGTGTTGCTCTGGGCATATTATTTAACCACTGGAAGGGTGGGTTCTTTCATCTTAAGTGGCTTATAACAAAAGTGCATAATTCCTTTAAAACTATACTGACACTGACACTTGAGTGCTTTTCATTTAAACCAAACACTGACCCTATGGGTAGGTAGGATAATTATCTGCTTAGTACAGATTAGGAAACTGAAGCACAGAGCAAGCAGTTAATTGTTGTCCGGGATTCCGCAGCGGGGATTTGAACCCAGAGTCCATGCTCTTCGCCCCATCGTTACACTGCCTCTCTCTTGTATTCTCTGCGATACTTGTTATTAAGTACAGTGCATTGGTATCTATTTTTCTAATCGGTCGGTCATCCAGAGCATGGAGGGAAGGCTCTCAAAGGCCAGTGTGCGCTAATTTGCCATTCTGTGCTTTCCTTGGTTTTTTCTCTGTGGTCTCTGTCAGTCTCTCCTTTTCTGAAGGACAGGTTGAACCAGGAATAGTCAACGGAAGTGCCGACGGTACTGCAGAAAGCCCTGAAGAAGATGATCATGCTAGATGTTAACAGATTTTAATAACTGGGGCAGCCTTTAAGATCAGGAGGCTGTTGGGGATTGTCGGAAGTCCTTTGACATTACAGAGGACATCGTATATAACAGTGCATCTTCAAGAACAGACCAGTAACAATAGTGAACTGGAGTAAGGATGGCTGGGGGCCTGTCTGTGACCTTAGGGATGTTTAGGAGAAGGAAGAGTGGTTGTCTGTGTGGTGTCAGGAACTAGTGCTGCCTTAGTGAGGTGTGCCTAACTCCTCTTCCTCCCTAACCAGATAGGCGTGTATTTGCCTCATAGCAGTGCTCAGAAGCAGTATATGAGACAACATGCATAAACTCCGACTCACAGGACCTGGGTCCTAGTGAGATGGCAGTTAATTAATTTTACTTGCTGTAGTTGGTAATCTTCCTCTTATTCTTAGGCTTAAATTTCTTAAAATACTTGAAGTACTTACATTTTGTTTTACTTTTTGCTCTTTCCCAGAGATCTGAGAGCACCCCCAGAACATGGAAAGATTTTTGTTATAAGGCGATCTCTCTTAGAGTAAGTATTTTAAGTGCTTTTGTTAAGTATAAGTTTAAATAAAAAACATACACACAACTATTCTGATTGTTGGAATCACTGCTTAATCTATGAATGTTTAAAGCGCTTGTTCTATATTCATACAAATCGTTTGTTTTGATACTGCTCTTTGTACATTTGCTGTGTCTTGCTCTTTCTTTCTGATCCCCTGGCTCTGCATCTAGTTTCAAAGGAGGAGCTAGAAATCAGAATGGTTATCTGTCTTCGATAAATTCCTTCAATTTGTGCTGCAGAGAACTGGTTACCCAAAAAGCTAGGATAGAGTTTTCTATTTAGGGAAACTACTTCAAGAGAGTTTTGGTGTTGCTGCCTTTTTGGTATATAATTTTTTAATCTCTTCTTTGGCTATCCAGATTAAACACATGATAGATTTCTCAAATTTACTTATTTTAAAACCCTGATTGTGTGGATCTTATGAAAAAACACACACATCAGGCAAGGTAAATTAATTGTGGTGACATCATTTGTGAACTGAAAAGTAAAGGTGCACTTTGAGTATGTAATTAATATTTCTTTTGTAATGTTCTCGGAGATCATTCACTCATTCATTCACTCATTCATTAGAATACTTCTGTAATTTAACCTGCACTAGTATAGGTTGCCTGAAATAGTTGGGCTGGTGAACCTTAGGTATGGATGTGCTTTTCTTTTAAAAATGCATCATATGCTTATCAAAATATATTTTCTATGTGCCAAATTGATCCGTATTACTTAATTTTGATTAGAAGGCCAAAGTTTTCTAAATATCTAATGTAGAGTACCACTTCAGTGTTAGGTTGTTTGAAGAGATTTATCTTTTAAAATCTCTATCTGGGGGAAATGCAGGCTTTCCATGTAAAAGAGAAATTAAAGCAAATATTTTGAACATTATAATTAAGATTTTAGTGATAGTATTCTATATATGAAAAATAAACAAAATTAAAATACACATTTTTAAATCAAGGAAACAAAATACATATTTTATGGCTCAGGTAGGTTTTATTAGAATTGAAGCTCCTTAACCCAGACATTTAATAGTATTTTAGATGCCTCAAAAAGTTAGGAGATTAGCATACATCTTTCCATAAACAAAGCTAAAACACTTGTTTTAATCAAATATAAAAAGTCCTTAGTTAGAAAAAGTCATCTAGAAAGTAATTGGTGTGTTTTAAAAGAAAAGTAACCCGAGTAGAGAGTGGACTGTAAGACTAGGATGTTTTGAAAAAGTTTTTAGCCTTTGAAATAGCTTCTGTATTCCCTGTTTTCAGTGAATGACCTTTTGCCTACATTAGAAGACAGTCACCTCTGTAGGTTTTCAAGAATGCACACCATTTGTTCTAAATGTTTGATATCCATGCTGTTTTCTAGGAAGCAATATTATCTTATCAGAAAGCCTTGTCCTAAGCTCTTCCAATAATTTTTACTTTGGTCATGCCACTTACTGTCTCTACTTCAGGTTTAATATTCTGTGATTACTGTTTGAGATCTTTTTGGAGTGTGGATTAAGTATTTCTGGACTGCTTTAAAGTCTTTAATATATGACATTTTAAAATCAGATATAGTTTATTCATTTTATTTGTTTGAACTACATTTACAGTGAGCTGTTCGAGGTGGACCACATCAGAACAATATATCACATGTTTATTGCCCTCCTCATTCTCTTTATCCTCAGCACACTTGTGGTAGATTACATTGACGAAGGAAGGTAAGACAAGAAAAAGGATGGTTGGCTAATTGGCGCATAGGATGTTGGGAGTTTTCATTGTATGTAAATTTTGGTAGAGGGTGATTTGGTTAAATTTGCTTCAGAAAATTCCAAAGTAGCTGATTCGAGGTTGAGATTTCTGTCTCTTAAAAAGTACAATACAACTAAGAAGAAGATTAGAAATTTCATTACTTTTATTTTTCTAAATGGTCTATTTAAATAGACTATAATTGGTAGTTTCTAGGTAATTTTCCTAAATGGGAGAATTTTGTATATATGATTTATCAATTTTTCTGTTATGATATGCATTTCAGGTTAGTACTAAAAATAAGTAGCTTATTGGAATTTCACATTTGAAAAACGTATTTTTAATATGAAAATCAAATTGTAACTTTAAAAATGACAGTGCAGTAATCATACATTGAATTATATGCTTTATTAGAAAATTAAATTTTGAGATGATATATTAATAGATTTTTTGTTTATTTTTTATTTTTTTAAAATTCTTTATTGTTTAAAGTATTACATATAGTATCACATATGTCTCCTTTTCCCCTCAGTGACTTCTTCCCCGGCCTCTCCCACCCTCCCTAGATTGTTTTATTTATATTTATTTCCTTCTGAAAAATCATCTTTTGTACATAATAGTGATTGCTATTTGAATTCTTTAAATATGGACTTTGCCATAGAATATTTTAGAGTTTAAAATGTATTAATTAAGAATCTAACTTTTGAGAAGTTCAAAGTCTTATTTTTTTAAGTTATATTAGGTATTTTATGTTTAAAGACTGTATTATCTTAGGGCTTTTAGAAACTTTGTTATTGAAATATATTGTGAAGCAGTCTTAGAAGCAGTTCTGTAGCACAACTTCAATGACTTCAATGTGTTAATGTTGCTGTGTTTCCTAAAGCTGAGAGTTTGGGGCCTGAAAGTTTTGAATTCTGTGAATCAATGCATATTTTTAAAAATGTGCTTTTGTGTCTTTTCTCTGTGCTTTTTCTCCCCAGGCTGGTGCTTGAGTTCAATCTCATATATTATGCTTTTGGCCAGCTTCCTGTTGTTATATGTACATGGCGCGCCATGTTCTTGAGTACACTTTCAGTTCCCTACTTCCTCTTTCAACATTGGGCCAGAGGCTACAGCAAGAGTTCTCATCCAGTGATCCATTCTTTCTTCCATGGCTTGCTTCTCATGGTCTTACAGATTGGAATTCTAGGTTGTGGACCAACATATGCTGTATTAGCATATACACTGCCACCAGCTTCCCGGTGCATTGTTATCTTTGAACAGGTAAGGTTTTGAGTGTTGCTCAGTGCAGTGCTGTGCTCAGTTAAAATAATGATTGGAACAATAATAATAATAATATTATGAGAGAAAAGGATATTATTGCTTATATAGTAATAATATAATAATAATAATAATAATAATACTATTATAACAATATAATACTGATATTCTGTTATTTTTGGATAAATTTTTATAACTGGTTCTTTATGCTCTTGTCTAAAATTAAAGTGTTAAACTAGATCATCTCATCTCATAAAACTTATTTTAACTTCAGTGTTCTCTGATGCTTAATAATTGAAATAAATCATATTGAACTGTTCTGGATCAGTGCAGATTTTGTTCTTGAATACTTTTTGTAGTAGTCATCTATACCATAAAATGTTTTTGTAATTAAAATCCCCACTTTTGAAATGTCAGATTCATTATTTTGTCATATAGCTCTTTCCATCTAAAGAATGGATTTATTTTGTCCTTAAAACCTTCCGATTTTCTTATATTGGGTGTCCATAATGCTCTGTTTGACTAATGGAAAGGACCGTGTCAGGAGCCTTTCTTTGATAGACTTTTGTAATACGGTGCTTTTAGTTGCAAAAGAATGTCTTTCTTTAGAGGTTGTTTTTAATTTGCTTTATTCCATAAAAGTGAATTTGAGTTGGTATATGCAAAATTAAAACATTCTATATGTGAAAAAATTTATCTTTTCCTCCCACCCTTTTTTAGATTCGTATGATAATGAAGGTCCATTCATTTGTCAGAGAGAATGTGCCTCGGGTATTGACTTCAGCTAAGGAGAAATCAAGTATGTAATCCTATTCCATCAAAGGACTATTCAGAGGGTATTTCATCCTTTGGTGTTCAGGGGGATGGCACATTACATTCTGCCGCCATTGTGTTTGATTTTCATTATGTAGCCTCCACATTGATTTGGGAGACTATCTCACTATTTCCTGATTGTTTCTGTTTTGTCTTGGTACCTGCAATTTAAAACCATTGACCATTAGATTCTTGTAACTTTATGTAATTTTTATAGAATGTTAAACTCATCACACCTATGTGTGCTTATTACTCTTTGAGTTGCTGCTTAAAACTCTAGAAGTCATCTCAGTCACAGGAATAACTTAGTGTAGAGGGATTGGTCTGTTGATATTAGAATAAGAAGTCATCATTTTGGGAGATCAGGAAGAAACAACATAAGCTAAGGAGAAGTCGTTTTATTCTTCTCTACCCTATGCTTCCTTACTTTCCCTTTGTAGTTCTGCTGAGAGCTCCTGACCTAGCCAAGTTTTCCTTTTTCAGGAACTGTCCCAGTACCCACAGTCAACCAGTACTTGTATTTCTTGTTTGCGCCAACCCTCATCTACCGGGACAACTACCCCAGGTAATGGCACTATGAAGTACAAGTGTGCTGAGCACCTGAAGTGTGGCAGGAGTGAGGTACAGCAGGCGGGCAAGGGTCAGCTCACATAGGGCTACAGAGAATGTAGAATGAGTTTTCATTTTCTCTCTGGCCCAGAGAGCACCAAAGGTGATTCTAGCAGTCTTATTTGATCATAGTAATTCTTGACAGAATGTACTTTATTTAGAAAATGTATTTTTTGCTTCCTTTTTAGGACTCCCACTATAAGGTGGGGTTATGTGGCTATGCAGTTTGCACAGGTAAGTTTTTTTTCACTGCCTAAGGTTTGGTGATTGGTGGGAGATGGGGATTTTAATCTATTTAAAGTGTTTGTAAATTTATGACTATTGGGAGCTGTAGAACTCTTTCTGAAGTTTTGAAATTATTCTCAATACAGTGAACGGTGTTTGTTTTGCCAACATCAAAAGTAATTTTCTTCAATAAAATAATTTGTTTTATTGTAATTAATAAAGTAATTCCATTTGGTTACTTCAGTCAGCACCTACATTAATTTCCCCTTCCCCTCCTGTTTTCATATTTTTTGGATATATATGTGGGCCTGACACTCCTCACTACCTCCTCCTCCTGAACCCCTTATCAGAATCAAATCCCAGAAAATCCCATTTTAAATTCTTGTTTCAATCAAATACCCATTTCTGAAACAAATTATTTTGTTATGGGTTCATGTAGCAGGAAAATCAGGTTCCAAGAGTCTGATCTTTTACAAATGCCCTTTGGTAAAGGGTTGGGAAAAGATACGTTAGAAACTAGGTCTGAGTAATTTCTGAAGGGTATAATTTGCAATCTTATGCATTAGTGTTAAATGGAATATATATGTAAACATTAGAGGTTACATATGTATCTTCTTTTGAAGGAAAATCACCATCTTTCCTTATCAAGCCATCATTCTTATGACTATCTTTGTTGTGTTCCAGGTGTTTGGCTGCTTATTTTATATGTACTACGTCTTTGAAAGGCTCTATGCCCCCTTGTTTCGGAATATCAAGCAGGAGCCCTTCAGTGCTCGTGTTCTGGTCCTATGTGTATTTAACTCCATCTTGCCAGGTAACATGGGGACTGGTTAATTTGGCCACTTATAAAGTTGCAAGGAAAATAGAAAGCTATTGCACCTTTGATTTACCTGCTTTTCACTTATAAATTCATCTGCATATCTATACCTATCTTTTTTTTAATTTCTTTATTGATTAAGGTATTACATATGTGTCCTTATCCCTCCATTGCCCCTCCCCCACCCCCACTCATGCCCTTATCCCCCTGTTGTCTGTGTCCGTTGGTTAGGCTTTCTATACCTATCTTGACCTCTTTCCATCTGTCTCATAAATGAAGTATATTTCAGTCTCAGCCGAATTTTTCCATTGGTCTTCTGGCTTTTACTCAAGTTTTGCTTTCTCTGACTGGATAATTCATATTTATGCTTCATTTCCCCATAATCTTGCTCCTAATCCAAGCAGGGCACTGAAATAGACTTTATTAAAATCACTAGTTATTTCCTGATTCTAAATCCAGTGGATGCTGTAGCCCTTACTCTGATCTCCATGAAGCACTGGCTGTTGTTGACCACATTTTGAAATCTCCCTACCACTCCTTCTTATTCTCCTGTCTTTCTAGCCATACTTCAGACTCCTAACTTGCTTCATTCCACTTATCTTTTTCTGGAGATATATGAGTACCTACTATATCAGATGCTGACAATATAGCAGTGAACAGACATAACTCTTCACTCTCTGGAAGAGTCAAATTATATATATAGTTTTCTTTACTTCTTTCTTTTCTCTACCCATTAAATGTTGGTAACATTTTCCATGATCACCTTGTCTCTACCTTCTCTCTCTCCCAGATTTCTAATAACCCTCCCTGATTGCTCTTCAAGGGTTACTCCAGTAAACTCCCATCTGTTCCTCTAATAGGATATGTGTTACATACTTGTGTGTCTTGTTCACTGGGCTACAAATTCCTTGAGATCAAAGATCCTATCTTATAGCCACTCAGCCAGTCACAGTCTCTCCCATATTGTTTAATCCATAGCAGATGCTCTATAAATATTTTTGAATAAATGAGTGAAAGAGGTGAGCATGTATTTTACATTATAGTAACAATATATACTACATAAGGAGAATGAACAAAGTGCTGATGAGCTTTGTATCATGCTGGAGATGACATTTACCATTGGGTGTTGGAAATAGATGGGCGTTTGCCTGGCAGAGAAGTGGTGGAAAGGTGCTTTAGGCGGTGAGATGGGTGCATAGGCATAGACTTACTTTAGAATGGCCGAAGTCCAGGTAGGGATGATGTGTGGGACACGGAGTGGAGTCGGAGATAAGTTAACCTTATCACTATTGACATTCAAGGCTGGATAATTATTTGTTTTGGGTGGCTGTCTTATGTGTTGTAGGATATTTAGCACCATTCTGACCTCTAACAACTAGATACCAATAGCACCCCCCCTCCCCCCAAGTCCTTGAGTTGTGACAACCAAAAATGTCTTCATAATTGTCACATGTTCCTGGCGGGTGATGGTTGCGGGGGACTTCTCCCCCAGTTTTAAACAACTGGTTTATGGGAATGCACGAGGGCCAGATTTTAAAGGGCTTTGGGTATCGAGGCTTTTCTATTCTAAACAGGCTGGAATGAGTAAGCTGGAATAATCATTTTTATTTTACAAAATAATTCTAGCTAAGCAGGTGCTGACAAAATTAACTGCTTGGTGTATGAGCTATTTGAAAACACTCAATATTATTAATTTTATTTTCAGGTGTGCTGGGGCTGTTACTTACTTTTTTTGCCTTTTTGCACTGTTGGCTCAATGCCTTTGCCGAGATGTTACGCTTTGGTGACAGAATGTTTTATAAGGTAATATACACGCGGACTCATTTTTCTTTTCACAATTTATTATGTCCTCATTGCTAGCTTTTTAACATGAACATTATATTGTCAGATAATGTTTTCCCACAAGTTTTACCAGTATGAAGTCTGAAATTCTGGTATCAGTGTAATTAGTAAAGCTTTATCTTCTACCTCTGATATCCTCCCTTTCCCATAACATATGGCTTCTGCTGGATCCTGTGTTGGTGATTACAGAAGGAAAGCATGTGTCTGGAGGGTGGTATGAGACTTTGCTGACTGTTCATTCATTTGAAATTGGTTGTCTGGTGCTGTAGGAGTAATTTCAGTAAATTATTCCATTTAAAGTTGCTGAAGGAAGGAAATGACTTTTTCCTCTTTTATTTATGAAAGGCATTAATTCTGCTTAAAATAGTATTCTATACTTGCAAAGTTGGAATTAAGTTCTAAACTCAGGATCTGGAGTTTAGTTTGTGGTTTTGGTAACACTCCAAGCCTACCACTTCTTTCTCAAAGAAATAGTGAATGTAGGTTGTGAATTTTAGGTGTCTGATTCCCTTAGTCTGATCTTAAAGTAGGGAGCAAGATATATGTAACGGAGTGCCAGGTTTTGGAGGTAGCCACCTCTCACTCCTTATTTAACGTAAGTTTTTCTGTTTGATACCAGCAAGCAGCTCTTCACCTTTAGCATGCTACGTAACCCTGTGTGACCTTAGAATTCTCTCACTGTGTTTTAGCAGGGCAATGGGGATTCACTGATTGCTATTTAGAGGAACACTAGATTGAATGATTGTTTATGTTCTGTGTCTTCCACCGTAACTTGTTTCATAATGAGAGAAAATGAACCTAGGGAATGAATCATATAGAACTAGAATTAATGTCTTATTAAACATCAGTAACCAAAATGCCTTTTAAGATTTTTCTGACATCAGTGTATGGACTGACAATTTATCATCACACACTGGATATTATGTGTGTATGTTCTTTGGAAATATTCAGGGGTTTTTGCTTTGGCTCTGTGTGTATATACATGTATGTGTGTGTGGTATGTGTGTAGTTTTATAGCTTTGGTTTTTTTCCTCAGGATTGGTGGAATTCCACATCCTACTCCAACTATTACAGGACCTGGAATGTGGTGGTCCATGACTGGCTGTATTACTATGCTTACAAGGACTTTCTCTGGGTAAGCAGCAGGATTTAGTTGATGTTGTTCAAGAAATGGAGATTCTTTTCCAGAAAGTATTAATATTGTACAGCTGGAGGAAGTTATACTTAGTTGTCTTTAATTCTCTTATGAGCCATTTATGTCTAAGAAATCTTCTGCCTTGAATAATACTGCTGAGAGACCAGTATGGACAGTTACTGGGTCTAATACCATGTTTTCATTCTGGATTTTACTTTATATAATTACCAAGTAAGAATGCAGGCAAACATTCAGATAAGTTGAACTGATCCACCATTTATGGATCATTTCTTATGGATCTCACGGATAACAGATAATCTCCCTCTAACTTTTTCTTCATTTACTTTCTTTTTTTAAAATCTGTTCAAAGTGGAGAACCACCCTATGTATGGACTTAACATCTCTCCAATTGGTCATGTAGGTCTTTGAGACATTCTTCAGAGCAGAGTGTATTTAGACTGATGGAATGAAATCTTGAATCTCATGGTTGATTAATGCTGGTGTCTCCTCCGGATTATTGGCTAAGTGATAGCATGTTGTAGATCAGATAGCATTGTATTCGAGTGTTCTTTCCTTCATATGTGTAGTTTCACTTATGGACAAGGCAAGTCTCTTCTTTCTAAATCTTAGTTCTGTTACCTGTAAAAATGGAGAGGATGCCTGCCCTGTCTACCATACTGTGCTACTCTAAAGGTTGAGATCTGATGTGTTCATTAATATATAAAAACTATGTTTTGTCCATCAGAGTGACTTACCAGTATAAGTTATTAATGTTTTTAAAAATATGCCCGCTCTAGGATTGGTGGAATTCCACATCCTACTCCAACTATTACAGGACCTGGAATGTGGTGGTCCATGACTGGCTGTATTACTATGCTTACAAGGACTTTCTCTGGGTAAGCAGCAGGATTTAGTTGATGTTGTTCAAGAAATGGAGATTCTTTTCCAGAAAGTATTAATATTGTACAGCTGGAGGAAGTTATACTTAGTTGTCTTTAATTCTCTTATGAGCCATTTATGTCTAAGAAATCTTCTGCCTTGAATAATACTGCTGAGAGACCAGTATGGACAGTTACTGGGTCTAATACCATGTTTTCATTCTGGATTTTACTTTGTATAATTACCAAGTAAGAATGCAGGCAAACATTCAGATAAGTTGAACTGATCCACCATTTATGGATCATTTCTTATGGATCTCACTGATAACAGATAATCTCCCTCTAACTTTTTCTTCATTTACTTTCTTTTTTTAAAATCTGTTCAAAGTGGAAAACCACCCTATGTATGGACTTAACATCTCTCCAATTGGTCATGTAGGTCTTTGAGACATTCTTCAGAGCAGAGTGTATTTAGACTGATGGAATGAAATCTTGAATCTCATGGTTGATTAATGCTGGTGTCTCCTCCGGATTATTGGCTAAGTGATAGCATGTTGTAGATCAGATAGCATTGTATTCGAGTGTTCTTTCCTTCATATGTGTAGTTTCACTTATGGACAAGGCAAGTCTCTTCTTTCTAAATCTTAGTTCTGTTACCTGTAAAAATGGAGAGGATGCCTGCCCTGTCTACCATACTGTGCTACTCTAAAGGTTGAGATCTGATGTGTTCATTAATATATAAAAACTATGTTTTGTCCATCAGAGTGACTTACCAGTATAAGTTATTAATGTTTTTAAAAATATGCCCGCTCTCCCTTTCAACATTATTAGTTTTGAAAATGCCTTCTTTGAAAATAAGGATTTTTAAGCATAGGTGTTTTTTCTAATTATATTATAATACATTTGGGTTAATCCAAAGAGTAGATTGGAAAGTCCAATATAAATATAATTAAATTGATGCCTTTAACATGTGATAATTATAAGTCTTATGTAGTTTGTGCTTAGTTACCTTTTAAAAACTGCTTTCTAATATTTCCTTTTCCCCTAGTTTTTCACTAAGAGATTCAAGTCTGCTGCCATGTTAGCCGTCTTTGCTGTGTCTGCTGTCGTGCACGAATACGCCTTAGCTGTTTGCTTGAGCTTTTTCTACCCAGTGCTCTTCGTGCTTTTCATGTTCTTTGGAAGTAAGTATCTTGGCATGCCATGAGGACTGAGGCTGATGCCAAAAGAGAAATTTAGAAAATAAAGTATGAAATCAATGTAGGAAGCTAGATAGTGAGCAGTAATATCATCTCAAGGCAGTGTTTGCTTATCAGAGGGAAAAGAACATTGATTTTGAGTAATTATACACAACTCTGTTTCAAGATGTTTATATACTTTGAAGTAGAGAAATGAGCCACATAACCTCTTGCAGACTGTTGGTAACACTGATTTGGTAGGTCACAAAAACAATAAAAAACAACTTCGCCATTCTTCAACTCTATCGTTGTTCACCCGCTGAAAAAAACTGACCCTTTTTTGGGTGGGGGGAAGGGATAAGCTAGAATATGAATGATTCCATGAAATATATTTTCACCTGTTCTGAATACTGTCCGATTTTTAATTAATCACTGGTTAATAAACTTCAACACGGAAGCTTCATTTTTATTTATAGGAGCAGTGGCCAGAATAAACCATGTCCGCACAGTTGATGCTCATTGTGATACTTGGATGATTTTAGCAGCTATCTGAGGCTGCTTATAGATTGTCTTGATATATATTTTTTGTTCTCTTCCTGACTTTAGTGGCTTTCAACTTCATTGTCAATGACAGCCGGAAAAGGCCGATTTGGAACGTCATGATGTGGACTTCACTTTTTGCGAGCCAGGGAGTCCTCCTGTGCTTTTATTCTCAAGAGTGGTATGCACGTCAGCACTGTCCTCTGAAAAATGTGAGTCAGCACTCAGGCTGCAGTGGAGAAGTGACATGTTTGTCCCCGATTGTGAGGGTTGGAGAGCAATTTTAAGGGGAAGGACATCAGTGGAGATTGTGATGAATTAATGTTAAGCGGAGAGAAACATTATCTGATCTTATTGCTACTGTTCTTAAAATTTTTTCTTTTGCTTTTCTTCACTTTGAACTCTCCTACTTGGTGCTCCCCCCCCCCTTTTTTTAAATTTCCTACTCTTTTACTGCTTTTTCTTTAGCTCCTTGTAATTTTCTTCCTGTGTCTTAAAAATGTAGGACATGTGTATCCTATCCTCCACACACACCTGAATATATATGTATATTTTACCTCTTCCTTTCCAAAGTATTACGTCTTTGTAAAAATGTCCAGCTACATTCATATGCCTAGGATCCCGTTTCCCTTGATTTTCTTTTGTTGCTATTGTTGTTTGATTTTTCATGATTACATAAGAGCTTCAGCTTTAAGCTGCATGTGGATGACTCCCAAATAATTAGGGGGTGCCTTCTTTATATACCCCGGTATTTCTCACAGGCACCTGTAACTGAAGATGCCCACAATCAAATTAATCAGTTTCTCTGCCAAAGCTTCTACTGTCTACACTGTTTCTGTTATGCTGCCCTAATGCTCCCTCCTTATTTCCTATTAATCCTCTGTGTGCATTTGAACTAACTGCTCTGGACTACTAAAAATAGGGGTGTGCTAAAATAAAATGCACGACACCTAAAGAGGTGTAGGACCTATTTGACATTTAGTCAGAAGGGCAATTGTGTAGGGTTTACTGGACTTTAAAAGCTTCATGTAAAGCCTCTAAACCAAGTAAATCCATGCTATAGATAAAAATAATGAACATCTTTTGAATTATTGAACTATTTTTAACTGAAAGGTTGCTGAAATGCTGAGAGGCATTTTAGAGGTATGCAGTATATGACACTAACATCCCTATCTCTCCCCACACCTCATGCACATAGTGCACACAAGTAAGCTACATTTATTTTCCTCTTTTTTCTCAAAGCCCACATTTCTGGATTACATCCGGCCACGTTCCTGGACTTGCCGCTACGTGTTTTAGAAGCTTGGACTTGGTTTCCTTCCTTGACACTGAAGACTGGGTATTCTGCCTGACTTGGGGTCAGCATCTATTTCCAGCTGTTACTGATGAAGTTATCCCTGTTGTTTGGACCACTCCAGGCTTGACAGATGACTCACTCCATCCCTAGGTCATCTGGAGCTGAGCTGTTGGAAGTTTACTGGACTTAATGTACACTTAAGCAGTGCTTTTTTGTATTACTTTGCGGAGAAGGAAGACTTAATAGCTAACGTAATGACAGATGTTTGCTGGGTCATATTGGCTTAAGCCTCAGAAATTAAATGTTTTCTTTCTCGACTATCTAATTAGAGGCTAAACATCATGTTTTCTTGGCCATTGAATTAGCCAAAACACTTATGAAGAAATCATTTAAATACCTCTGGCTTAGAAATTTTTTCATGCACAGTGGTGGAATGTATGCTAATTAACCATGCAATTGGGAAAGAAAAGAATATGGAATGTTTTGCTATTTCTAGTAGAGAGAAAATATCTACTTTCCAAAGATAATCTTATTATAAATCCTAATTTGTGGGTGGTTGTTCTTCTCAGCCTGTATTTTTTTGAAAAAAGTTTGGTTCTACCCAAGTTTTATCTTGTTTTACTATACAGTGTAGGTCATGGTTTCTATGAAGCAAAATTACATCTTTCACCTTGAATTCTTGAGGTTTCATTCATAATATTATATATGAGAAGAACAGAAATAGGATGGGAAAGAGAAAGAAGGCACGGGACAAAGAAAAATATTTCCTCATAACTTTCAAAGAAATTTTTTTTAAAAACTTGCGGAATCAATCATATGTTTAAATTATTTTATCATGTAACTTGTATGGAAAATAATTTTTAAAAACTTTAAGGTCATAACTTCTTTTAAGTTATTTAGAAGTATCCTTTGGTACAGTTATTTTATTGTCTAATAACTACTGACTTGAATTAATTTGCAGACTAGTAAGTCTGTAACAGAAGTATTAATCGCCTCCAATAATATTAAAGTGATTCTTAAAGATCCAGAAGCTGGCTTCTCTATTTGCTCAATTATACTTTTAGTGGTATTTTACTTTAGGTGAAACAAATTATGTGCTCATTTTCAGGAAAATGTACTCTTTTATGTGATGTTCCCATGTTATAAGATGCCCATTGCTCATACGGTGTGATGTGGAGGACTTATTTTGTTTGTATGTATGAGGTGTGACTATGTTTGTAAAGATTGAGCATTGGAGGGAGTATTTGAGGCCATGCATGTAGTTCAACTTTCCACCCAAAGAAGTAAGACTTACGAATTATTCAAAAAATTACTGTTATTTGAGGCAGACAACTTGAGAGGCCCTCTTGGAATTCTAACAGGCCTACTGTTATCCAAACGGTTTGGGGAAGTCTTTTCCAAATTGTTTTAAAGACAGTGTGAGTCTTATAAGAAGGTAGAAGGAGTTTCTTAATAGTCACAACTTAATCTGTAGCACAAGTACTCAATTTAATCACCTATTTTATTCCCCATACCTTTGATTCAGGTGAATTTAGGCAGTTTTTAAACATCACATCCAATTTCAACAGACAAAAGTGCACCTCAAGGTTATCTTCCACAGTAATTATCTGCACAGTGGTAGTGTGATTGTAATGGAACCATAACCTCCAAACAGGACTGCTTTAATATACCTTCTAATTGCTGGTGTTTTTATTAAGAATTAAAATTAGTCAACCACTTGTTGACTAAACTTCTAACTGCATTTTAAATTCACATCCAATTTCAACAGACAAAAGTGCACCTCAAGGTTATCTTCCACAGTAATTATGTGCACAGTGGTAGTGTGATTGTAATGGAACCATAACCTCCAAACAGGACTGCTTTAATATACCTTCTAATTGCTGGTGTTTTTATTAAGAATTAAAATTAGTCAACCACTTGTTGACTAAACTTATAACTGCTTTTTAAATATTAGGGAGCTGATAAAACAAGATTGATGTAAGACTTGGTTATGAATAAGCCAATCTATTAAAGTGAGAGAATGGAATTCTTAGGTCTGTATTTCTGTTAAGTACTGTAAACATATACTCTCATTGAGAAGACTTTGTTGTTCTGTACTGATTCTAAATAGTTTATTTATTGGATTTATCAAGGCTACTTAAAAAAAAACACCAAAATAAAACTCCCAGCCCTAGCTGGTTTGGCTCAGTGGATAGAGAGAGCGTTGGCCTTTGACTGAAGGGTCCCAGATTTGATTCCGGTCAAGGGCACATGCCTGAGTTGGTGGGCTCGATCCCCAGTAGGGGCATGCAGGAGGCAGCTGATCAATGATTCTCTCTCATCATTGATGTTTCTATCTTTCCCTTCCTCTCTGAAAACAATAAAAATATATTTTAAAAGTTAACTCTATCAGTTAAAAAAATACAAAAAACCTCTCATCTTCCCTTTGTTTATTAGTGATTTTTTTCCTGCCCTAGATTTTTATGTGACAACAAATAATTTGTGTATAATTGGAGACACTTTAGAATGATAAGACTTTCCTAAGAAATTTTCAGAAACACTCAAAGGAATAGCAACTTTCTGTGAAAGAAACTTAGTTTGGTAGCCATGATCTTTTATCACTAGCTGCTTTTAGCAAAAGCCTTTAAACAAAACAAAAACTTCTTAGTAATATGTTTCAGGAAGATTGATTGATTCTTTTTCCCCTCTTGCTAAAATTATTTTCAGTTACTGGATGATACTTTTTTCCTTTGAATGTAATAAAATTAAAATTTCTTTCCTGTAAGAGATATTAATGGATAGTAACTATTATTTTGAGTTTGTTATCCAAGAGAACAACTAAGAGCTCTAACTTTGCCATAAATTTGTTAGGTGCTTTTATATTCTCAATCCTGGGTAATGAAGGAAAATGGAGGTTTTTTGCTTTTTGGTGGACTAATGTACTGCAGTTGCCTTACATTAGAATTTAATTAGAAAATTGAGACTACAACATTTGGAAGCAAAAGGAGTGGGGAAATGTTTTGTGGGTTTTTTTTTCCTTTTTAATCATTGCAAGGTAAAAGTGAATGACATTGACAGGTTAAAGTACAGAGTGTAAATGTTCTATATTTGCAAACAGATTATGCTGTAGAAGTAATTCATTTAGTATGGGCAGTTTTCATCTATCAAAATTATACTTACCTGGAAAATTGGATCCTGAAGTCAGAGAAAACATATCAGAACATTGTGTGCTTAAAAGCTGGTCATGTGGGTTGTGTAGCCTGAAAAGATATAATTTATGAATTGTTGAAGTCTTTTATGCAAAAAAGATAATCTTTGTTTTGTGTGATCATAAGTAATTTTGTGTACAGTTCTTTGTTTTGTATGGGGAAAAATAATGAAGGTAAACTCATACAACTGTAGGGAACAGGTGGCCTGGACCAGTTAAAGAATAAATTGTTACACTTTAGCCCAGAATGTAAAAAACAGATAAAATATCGCTGCTTCTGGTTGAGATAGAGATGGGGTGCTAGAGCCCTTCGTGTTTGAACACCCATTTTCTCCTACCCCCAAGTTTGAAAACCAGTAATGCAGGGAGAAAAGAGCATTCCGTGGATATCCAAATCCGAGGATGCTCTGGTACCTTATGTGAAATGGCATATTTACGTATAACCTACATATCCTCCTGTACAATTTAATCTCTAGATTACCTATAATCCATAATATGATGTAAATGGTATGTGAGTGGTTATACTGTATTGTTTAGGGAATAATGACAAGGAAGAAAGTCTGTACATGTTAAGGAGATGCAAGCATCATAGGCTTAATTAACTACATAGTACACATCAGCAACAATCTAAATTTTTTTCAAATATTTCCCATCCACAGTTAGTTAAATCTGCAGGTGCAGGATGTGTGGATATGGAGGGCCCACTGTATGGTAGTTACAGCCAAAAAAATACTCTCTAGTTACCCTCCATGGTGTGGCTTTACTCACCTGTCTCTGTAGACGAGTGGGAAGGTGAAAACTCTTCAGAAATCAGACATGCCCCCTCCTTGACGAATTTATTAAAGTTTAGCTTCCTGTCCTTTTAGGCTCAGCTTGCATGTGGACCCAAATTAGTTGGTCCATGTATCTGACTAATAAAGAATACCAGTTTGTAAACATACCATGAGAAATCATTTCACACATGGAGTGATATACTCAGGTTGGCATCGTCACTGAATCTGTTCTCTGTAGAAACACAACTTACTGTATGATGAGAAAAATGAATGTATTTTAAACTGAATCACCACCATGTGCCAGGTACTGTGCTATGCACTAAAGGTACACTTATGAATAAGACAGAAGCCATATTACTGCCCTGGCTGGGTAGCTCAGTTAGTTCTAGCATTGTCCAATATGCCAAGGTTTCGGGTTTGATTCCTGATCAGGGCACATAAAAGAATTGACCAATTAGTGCATAAATAAGTGGAACAACAAAAATCAATGTTTGTCTGTCTCTCTCCCCCTTTCTCTAAAATCAGTGCATTTTAAAAAGCATTTCACATCCTGTAGGCACACTCATGTGGAATCAGGAGGAGGGTACTTAGATGAAATCTGACTTGAAACTAAGACAATTGGTGACATCAGTTCAATTTTAGTGGAGTCCTTTTGTGGAAACAATACTAGAGGCTATCCTGCCCCAAGAGAAGAGTTTGGCTGAGCAGTGCCTAGCTTTCTCAGTGTCTCTTCTTTATCATTTCTGGTTAATGCCTTCATTTTTTAGTTACATTAAACAGTTCTGGCCTACTTCACATTCAGACTCCTTCAGGGAACTTTGCATGCTGCGTTTAAGTGCCCACAGATGTGTGTGTAAACCCTGCCCACACACTGGGAAGATGAGTTGGTAAAAAGGACATCGTTGCAAAAGTGCACCTACTGTTCCTTGTACTTTTCCCAGTTCAGGGCATGTTTAATGATCACACCGACTCGCTCTCTTCTGAAGCCCCAGAGGAGGACTGCTGCTGAGTTGATGTTAAGCAGCCAACAGAAGTCAGCCAACACCAGCAAGCAATATTGGCCCCATCTACAACTCTGACTGTCACTTCTATGTCTTAATGTTTCTATTTAGGAAAACTATTACCTGCTCATCTTGCATTTTTATCTTACTCCATTTTAGGGTTCTCTTGGTATAATTCAAAATTAGGAGAGGATCTTTCACAAAAGTAGCAGTTGTATTCTGAATGGTCTTAGTGTAATGCTCTTATCTTCTTATCTACTGTACTTACTACTTTACATACTTCTTCGACTTTAACCCAGACCTTTGCTCAGGAAACAGCATGTATAATCACACCATTGCAAGGATAGAAAGTGAGAAGTAACTT